TGGTCCAGAGGAAAGGGCGGGAACCAATCAGCGGCGTGCGCGGGAAGAGCCGGCTCCTCCCTCCCGTTCTGCCCGGCAACGCGCTCTGATTGGCCGAGCCGCTCCGCCAGGAACCAATCAGCGCAGCTGGCGGGAAGAGCGGCCTAAGGCGGGGAAATCTGCCCAGAGACGGCTTCTGATTGGTCCGGAGGCGCCCCCGGGAGCCAATCAGAGGCGAGGATCCCCGGGACGCCGCCCTGAATTCCCTGAGGGCGCCCCAAAATCCAACACAAAAACCCCAAAATCGCCCCAAAATCGCCCCCAAATCCCTCTCAGGACCCCCAAAATCCCATCGGAGACCCCAAATTCGCCTCAAAATCTTTTCCTGGACCCCAAAATCCCGCTCAGAACCCCAAAATCTGCCCCAAAATCCCCTCAGAGCCCCAAAATCACCGCAGAACCCCCAAATTCGCCCCAAAATCCATCAAAGCTCCAAAATCCCCTCGAGGACCCCAAAATCTCCCTCAGGGACCCCCAAAAAATCACGAAATCCCTTCCAGGACCCCAAAATCCCCCTCAGAGACCCCAAAATCCCCCTCAGAATCCCCCAAATTCACCCAAAATCCCCAAATCCCCCCAAAATCCTCCTGGGACCCCCCAAAAATCCCCAAAATTTCACCGGGATCCCCAAATCCCCCCAAAATCTGCAAATCCTCCCCAAATCCCCCCAAAATCCTTCCCCGGATCCCCAAAATTCCTTCAAATCCCCCCAAAAATTCCAAAATCCCCCTCACAGCCCCCCAAAATCCCCAGATCCACCCAAAAAAATCCCAAACCCTCCCCCTCCGCCGGCGCCGCCCCCGGAGCTGCGGCTGATCCTGGAGGAGCTGCGGCAGCTGCAGCAACGGCAGCTGCTGCAGATGCAGCTGACGCAGGACATCTGCCGCCAGCTCCTCCTGCTGGGGGCGCTGGAGACCCCCCAGAAACCCCCAGCCGGCCCCCAATTCCTGCTGCTGCCCCCCTTCCCCAAACCCCAGCGCTCCGGCATCGCCGTGGCCTTGGCGTCCACGCTGGGCTCCGTCTCCTCCTTGGCGTCCTCCTTGGGCTCGGCGGCGGCGTTGAGGTCGGCGGGGTCGAGGTTGGGCCCGGCGTCGGGTTCTTCGCCGTCGTTGAGGTCGGCGGGGTCGACGTTGCGCTCTTCGTCGGCGTTGGGCCCGGCGTTGGGTTCAGCGCCGGCGTTGGGGTCAACGTTGGGCTCGGCGTTGGGTTCGTCGTCGGCGTTGGGGTCAACGTTGGGTTCTTCGTCGTCGTTGGGGTCAACGTTGGGTTCTTCGTCGTCGTTGAAGTCAACGGGATCAAGGTTGGAGTCAACGTTGGGTTCTTCGTCGTCGTTGAAGTCAACGGGATCAAGGTTGGAGTCAACGTTGGGTTCTTTGTCGTCGTTGAGGTCGGCGGGGTCAGCGTTGGGTTCTTCGTCGTCGTTGGGCCCAGCGTTGGGGTCGTCGCCATTGTTGGGCCCAAAGTTGAGTTCAACGCCGTCGTTGGGGTCAACGTTGGGGTCAACGTTGGGTTCTTCGTCATCGTTGGGCCCAACGTTGGGGTCAGCGGGGTCAACGTTGGGTTCAGTGCCACCACTGGGGCCAATGGGGTCAACGTTGGGTTCTTCATCGTCGTTGAGGTCGACGTTGGGTTCTTCGTCATCGTTGGGGTCAACGCCATCGTTGGGGTCAACGTTGGGTTCATCACTGGGGTCAACGTTGGGTTCTTCATCAACGTTGGGTTCTTCGTCAACGCTGGGCCCAACGTTGGGTCCAACGTTGAGTTCGACGCCATCGTTGGGTTCTTCGTCAACGCTGAGCCCGGGGTTGGGTCCCGCCGGCGCGGCGCGGCCCCGGCACGGCTGCGGGTTCTGCGGGAAGCCGTTCGGCAGCGCCAGCGCGCGGCAGATCCACCTGCGCTCGCACACGGGCGAGCGGCCCTTCCGCTGCGACCTCTGCGGCGGCCGCTTCACCACCCGCGGCAACCTCAAGGTGCACCTGCGGCGGCACCGCGAGCGCGGCCCCGCCCCGCGCCGCGAGGGGGACGGCGGCGAGGTGAGACGGGGGGCGGCGGGCAGCGGGTCAATGGAGGGGTCAGTGGGTCAAAAGTTGGGTCAATGGGTCAATGTTGGGGTCAATGGGTCAATGTTGAGGCCAATGGGTCAATGGGGTCAATGGGTCAAGGGTTGGGTTGATGATCAAGGCTGAGGTCATTGGGTCAATGTTGGGGTCAATGGGTCAAGGGTTGGGTCAATGGGTCAAGGTTGGGGTCAATGGGTCAATGTTGGGGTCAATGGGTCAATGTTGGGGTCAATGGGTCAAGGTTGGGGTCATTGGGTCAAGGGTTGGGTCAATGGTCACTCTGACTTGATTGGTGACTCTGGGCGGCCAGTTGGTCACTCTGGGCCAGTGGTCACTCTGGGTGGTCAGTTGGTCACTCTTGTTGGGGTCAATGGGTCAATGTTGGGGTCATTGGGTCAATGTTGGGGTCATTGGGTCAAGGTTGGGGTCATTGGGTCAAGGTTTGGGTTGATGATCAAGGTTGGGGCCAATGGGTCAATGGGGTCAATGGGTCAAGGGTTGGGTTGATGATCAAGGCTGAGGTCATTGGGTCAATGTTGGGGTCAATGGGTCAATGTTGGGGTCA